GAAAGTACTGAATGAAATTTGGCATTACCTTCTAACGAGAAATATGTTATGCCAGTAGCATCCTGAATTGATAGATTTCACAGAGTTATGTTTGTAAATGACCACTCCTTGGCTACGTAGTTTTGATTTTTGTTTTTGTTGTTGTTTTTTAATGAAAATGACAAATGTCTGATCCTGACAGCACTGGTATAATTCAGAGAAGATGATGGGCAATAAAGAAACACCACATAGGTTTTATTTTCTTAATAGCAAAAGTAAGTCACTACACCCCCATGGAGGGCCTCACCCTCCCTGGGGAAATGAGAGGATATTGGGGTGGGGGTTTGGTGGGAGGGCATGACAGGAGGGGAGAGAAATGGAGAAGGACCTGGAATTGACATGTGAAGCAACCTTGTTTCTAATTTAAATTTAATTTAAATATGTGTGTGTGTGTGTGTGTGTGTGTGTGTGTGTGTGTGTGTGTGTGTGTGTGTGTGTGTGTGTAAGTCACTGGGCAAGGAAGTGCCCTTGTCTCAACTGCTGACAGTATGCTGTCCAAAATGTGTAAGAAGGACACAAAAGAGACTGACAGCCAACCTTCTAAGAAAAGGTGTGAGTCCTGCAAAAATCCTGCTTCACAAAAAAAGTTTGTCAGAAATATTAGGCCAGTAGACCAAAGATGGATGACCCGATGTTACAGAGGACCCTTGGGTGACTGTCCAGGCAGCCAGCAGTTTCTGTCATTTCTAATATTTTTTGGAAGTCACTTGCTTACAACTCCTGCTTACTCAGGTAGTATTATTTCCTTCTTGTGTTTCTGAGGGAGTTGAAGACTTTATAGCCATAGTTATTGTTTTTCTTGGTATCAGATTCAGAAAAGAAATTCACTTAAGAAATGTAAAGTTATACATTGAGAGACAAAAAAAGATAGCTTTGATAATACAAGTAAGAACAGAAAGTAAATTAGGTACAATCTTTTGGTCTCAGCATATAGGAGAGATGCTGGGTTTTTTTTGTTGTTTTGTTTTGTTTTTTTGGGTTTTTTTGGTCAAATGCCGATGGACTAGACATTGTTGATGCATTTATTGCCTGCATATATTGTGTAAAGCTATTGTAATTATTGTATAGTTTTTCTTGTATTAGCTGTAACCTTTTAATTTTAGACAACAAAGGAAAAATGTGCTAATATTTATTTGTGCTCCTTGAATGCCTGTATTCAGGGAGTTTTTTGGTTGTTGGTCCAGGCCCTAACACAGACCAAATCCTTTCTATAAACAGCTGAAAATGAAGCATAAGCAAGTCACATTGGACATGCAGAGTTTGAGAATGAGAGTACCCAATATTCAGAAAAGCTCAATGAACATGCCAAGAAGACAGGCTTCCACTGGCAAGTGCCTGTCTTGTCAGGGACCACAAATATTGTGGAATGTTCATCTCTGCCTTTCTTTGTCACTGGATTGGAGAGTCCACAGCTCTGGTTCCAGACTTTCTGCTTCTTAGTGAGAAGCTCTTGGATTTGTACCTCTTGAACTCCATTTTTCCAAGTGTTCAAGAGACTGCTAGCTCCCTCCAAGACTATATGGTCATACTCGGTAGCCTCTAGATGAGTGGTTTTCCATGTTCCTAATTCTGTGACCCTTCCATACAGTTCCTCTTGTTTTGGTGAACCCTGAGATAAGAATGTGTGTAAGTAGTTCTGCTTTTACACTGTGATCATGTTCAGAAGTGGATTTGCTGACCGACTATTCTACAGAATAGGGAGAACTCCATAGGAACATTTATGGACTCCCTAAGTAAAATCCCCATGCTTTCCTTGTTTAAGAAAAGTATTGCTTTGGAAATTATACCCATGGTCTCCTTATCACTTGAGGTAAGATATCTTATTTTTTTCTGTCTTGGTTGTTGTGATGGCTATTCTAGGTAGCCAAACTGACTCCATCTGCAATTACTAAAACCCGGTAATCTGGATTTTTTGTTGTTGTTGTTGTTGTTGTTTGTTTGTTTAATGTTTGTTTTGGGGGCTTTTCAAGACAGGATTTCTCAATAGACATGAAACCAGTCCTGAAACTTGCATTGTAGATTAGGCTGGCCTTGAATGCAAAGAGATCCATCTGCCTCTGCCTCTTAAGTGCTGGGATTAAGGGTGCACTCTACCACCTCCAAGAAGGCATTTTTTTTTTTTTTTTTGGTTTTTTGAGACAGGGTTTCTCTGTGGCTCTGGAGGCTGTCCTGGAACTCACTTTGTAGACCAGGCTGGCCTCAAACTCACAGTGCTGGGATTAAAGGCGTGTGCCACCAATGCCTGGCTAAGAAGGCATTTTCTTATTAAAGGTTTTAAAATGGAAGCACGTATCTTTAATTTAGATCTTTGGAGGTGATAAAATTCACCCTTACCAGCTTGGTGTTGGTGTAGATGTTTAATCACAGTCCTCAGGGGCAGAAGCAGTTGGAGTTCCTAAATTTGATGCCTGCCTGGTGTACAGAATGTGATGCAGGGCTACACAGATAAACACTGTGTCCAATAAAACAAAAATTAAAAAAATCATGACAAAAATCCATCTGTTATCTGGGTCATACATTTTCATGGCAGTGTACAGTATAAGGGATATTGAAGAAGGAGAGCTCTCTCTCTCTCTCTTTGCCTGTTTACCCTAGCTCTGGATACTGAGTTTATTTCCTTAATGGCTTTAGAGCCCACTTGTTTGAAACACTCCTGTATACTGAAGAGCAGCTGAGACATCCAAACTCATAAACCAAACAACTACTGGATTCTTCAACTTTCCATTGGTAGGCAGCCATTGTTGGACTAGCAGGGCCAGAGCCTGTGAGACATTCTAATAAATCCACATTCTACAAACATGGAGAGATTCATTCTATCAGTCCAGTTCAAGTGGAGAATATTGGATGATATAAGTATTTTTATACCTGTCCACTGAGGAAAATGTGCTGGCTCACTATAATACTCTTGAAGGCATTCTTCCTAGCTCCATTCTCTCTAAGTATTCAACTCACCGTAAAGACTACACTTTTTATTATTATTCATTTCTGAAGAATTTGACAAGATTTTCAGGAATTAAACTAACAGTGCAATGGAGCTATCACCCAGTCTTCTGGCAGGGGAAAGATATATTGTCTTGTTTCTGATACAGTACCTGCATTTCTCTCATGGTTGTCTGTCTGAAGTGCCGGTGACTATCAGGTAAAAGTAGACTTAGTTTTCCTGAACTTAGCAAGAAGCCCCAGAACAAAGATCTTCTTTTGTATCCTAAAAATCTCTCTTTATTTTTTAATACCTTGAGTGCCCTTCCATATGTTAAATAAGAGAATCATTCAAGTTTACATAGGGTAATTCTCTGTGCAAGCTAGGCACATGGTATGGGGGAGGAGGAAGAGGATGTACCTGTGGACTGCAGGAAGAGAGCTGGGTCATCTACTGGAGACAGGGGTAAGTGATATTGAAATTAGTGTCTCTACAGATCTCCAAAATGTCTGAGTCTGGAGTAGAAGCTGGGGCCAGGGACTCTTGTGCTGTATCTTTAAGGACTCTCTAACCACTAAGGAATTGCTCTTGTCACTCAAGCCTCACTAGCAAATCAGGGACACCAGGTCAACCCGCCAGTGACAGGTCTTCCTGGTCACTTCCTGGAGCCATGTTGCAGGCCTGGTTTTACAGCAGAACAGGCATCAGTGGATTGATTGCTGCACTGTGAGCACTACTCTAGAGGATTGTGATGGAGCATAGATAAACATAGAATCCACAGCATGATGAGTGAGGGGATGTTATCCCGAGATGGAGAGGATGGGATGACGAGGCTGGCTGGGGGTGAATGTAATGGTCTGGAACCAGGGCGTTGGTGCAGGGGTTGCTTCAGATCCTGAGAACACAACTCTTCCCACCACATGGAGCTGGACTCTCTAAGTAAAATCCCCATGCTTTAGCTCTTTAAGAAAAGATTGCTTTGGAAATAACAACCAACACCTGTGGTAAGAAATCTTTCTCATGTTTTCCTGTGTTGGTTGTCTGATGGCTACCTCTGGAATTACCTAAAACTTAGTGAGCTGGGGGATTTTTTGTTTGTTTGTTTGCTCACATGTTTGTGGCTTGTTTATTTGGGGGATTTTTCGAGGCATCGTTTCTCAGTAGATATGGAGCCAGTCCTGAAAATCATTTTATAGACCAGGCTGGCCTTGAACTGCCTGGTCTTTCAAGGGCATCTGCCTCTGCCTTTCAAGGGCTGGGATTAAGGGCATGGGCCAACACTGCCCTGCAGGGATTTTCTTACTAAACTTTTAAAATGGAGATACATATCTTTAATCTACATCTTTGGAGGTCATGAAACTCAACCTTTAGCAGCTTGGTGATAGTGCACACCTTTAATCACAGCCCTCAGGAGGCAGAAGCAGTTGGATTTCCTAAGTTTGAGGACCTGCTGGCCTACAGAAAGTGGTGCAGGGCTACACACAAAAATAAAAAATAAATCGTGAGAAAAAAATCCATCTATAATCTGGGTCACGCCTTTTGGTGTCAGTGTACATATATAAGGGTTATTGAAGAAGGAGAATTCTGTCTGTTTGGATGATTACCCTAGCTATGACTGCTGAGTTTATTCCTTTACTAGCCTACTAGCCTACTTATTTGAAATACTCATGTATACTGAAGATCGACAATATTTCTCTGTGGCTTTGGAGCCGCTCCAAGAACTCACTCTGTAGACCAGGTTGACCCTGAACTCACAGAGATTTGCCTGCCTCTACATCCAGAGTGCTGGGATTAAAAGTGTGTGCCGCCACCACCCATCACAAACACCTTCTTTTGTGTTGTAAAAATCTCTTTATTTAGCCGGGCTTTGGTGGCACAGGCCTTTAATCCCAGCACTCAGAAGGCAGAGGCAGGTGGATCTCTGTGAGTTCGAGGCCAGCCTGGTCTACAATAGCTAGTTCCAGGACAGCCTCCAAAGCCACAGAGAAACCCTGTCTCGAAAAACCAAAAAAAAAAATCTCTTTATTTTTTAATATCATAGGCACCATTCCATCTGTTGAATAAGAGAATCATTCCCATCTGCATTGTGTAATGGTCTGCGCAAGCTAAGCACATAGTGTGGAAGAGGCAGAAGACTATGTACCTGAGAACTGCAGGAAGAGAGATGGGTCATCTACTGGAGACAGGGGTAAGTGGTGTCTCTGCAGATTTCTAAAAGGTACAGGTCTGGAGTAGAAGCCAGGCCCAGGAACTACTGTTCTGTGTCTTTAAGAACACTCTAACCCTTAAGGAAGTGCTCTTGTCACTCAAACCTCACTAGCCTATCAGGGACGCCAGACCAACCTGCCAGTCACAAGTCTTGCAGGACACTTCCTGGAGCCATGCTGCAGGCTTGGTTCTACAGTGGAAACATGTGGGAGTGGATTGATTGCTGCACTGTGAGTGCTACTATGGGGGATTGTGAGGGGAGCATGGATAATCAAGAAAACCACAGCATGGTGAGCTAAGGGACTCTATCCCAAGATGAGGAGGATGGAATGGGGTGGCAGGAAGACAGTACGACAGGCCCCCCTGGAGGCTACTGGGAACCTTTGGGCACATTTTGTATTCTGTGATGTCCTATATGGTCTTAGCTAATCCCCAGATTGTAGTGCTAGCCTATGTATACTTCACTCTGTGGGCTCCATCTGGGAGCTTTGTGTAGAAATATATTTGTAGTTAACACCAATGTGTTTTTTGGTGCAAACATAAGACGACTTGCCAAACTTGGAGAGGCCTAGTTTCTCTAGTGTCTGCACTTCACATTTAACATTCAGGTGTAAAGTCAATTTGGAGTTAATTTTGTGTATAGTGTACATGGCATTCTTTTTCTTTCTTGCATTTATTTACCTTTGGTTTTTTGAGACTGGATTTCTTTGTATCGCTTTGGAGCCTGACCTGGAACATGCTCTATAGAGCAGGCAAGCCTCAAACTCACAGATCTATCTGCCTCTGCCTCCAATATGATGGGATTAAAGGCATGGGCCAGTGAAGACACCCATAAATGGACATGCTCCACTACTAAGCTGTGATGCGGAAGAGTAGAATTGTTGATATAAAGGATTTCTCAATTTTGAGGGAATAGTGAGTCCCACAAAATAGAATTGAGCTGAGGGAGTAATGCCTCTAAAATAACCGAACGATAAGTAGTATGCTACCTAAGTCTACAGGTTAGGATGCTAGGATACACATTTGTTCACCATGATTGGCTAACATTTGGCTCCAAACCATTACAAAGGAGCCAGCCCTGATTTACAACCAGCCACTAGGTTTGTGTCCATATCAAAGAACAGGCCTGTTGTAACTAGCTAGTCAAGGATGTGTTAGAGGGTCACTACCATCCTAAAGGCCTGGTGTAGCATAAAGGTCCAGGTTTTTTTCTTGAGAAAAACATAGTTGTGCAAGCTGGGCAATATGACACCAGGTGACAACTATTTGAAAAATAAAACACTGTTTTGCTAAGGACTTGCCTGATTAATCAAGGCTTTCATTTAGACCCTCAGGCAGGGAGGGGAAAAATTCTTGGGATACCTAATAACAGCCTGGGGCCTAGTTACTGGGAGCTCTCCCTAAGGGCCTGATGCATTGACAATAAAACAGAGAGCCTTGTCTAAAACCAAGAATTTGCTTGGGAGAGCTAGTAATGGTCTGAAACAAAGACTTTATGGGCAGGTTGCTTCAGAGGCAAAGCTATGGTTATCAGTTTCACCAACTTTTGGCTTAGTCATTAATTATCTTGAGATCATTGAGATACCCTATGTTCCCCTTGTGCAGAATTGTTTGATTAGCCTCCTCTCTGTGTTTGCCCCATTGCATGATAGTTCCTACTGACTTCATAGAAGTCTCCCATTTCCACATTGGAAGTAGTATACAAGATGCTATTCTTCTTAAGGAGCTTACGTGGCATGGGGCATATCTCATACAAGACCTTCCCATTTCACCTTTTTTTTTTTCTAAGATAGGGTTTCTCTGTATTGTTTTGGGGGCTGTCCTGGAACTCACTCTGAAGACCAGGCTGGCCTTGAACTCACAGAGATCCGCCTGCTTCTGCCTCCTGAGAGCTTGGATTACAGTCATGCACCACCAACTCCTGGCTCCCATCCCAGTTTTTGTCTTTACTACCTTTTACATTTCCTATTTTCTCATCCCCTGCCACCGTCACCTCAGGATCCAGTCAGTGAAGAAGGTCCTGTTGATTCAGGTCTCTGGTGTACTTAACAATTCTGGGAATATTTTTGCTGTGTAAGTCTCCCATCTGCCCAAGTAACTAGACATGCAGTTTCCTGTCTCTGTTTAAATTGTTCAAATTGTGAACCTGGAGCATGACCCTAAAAGACACTGAAGGTTGACAACATATACAAAATGCAAAATGTGTCTAGGCTGCGCCTTCTTTGAGAATTAGCCAGAGATGTATGCATGTTATTGCTAAGTGTAGTTTTCTTTATTAATCTGCTAAGTGTGTGAAGTGACTGCTCACTGGTAAGGCATATTAATACTAGAACAGCTGCATTTCCATTCACTTAGAAAATTTTTTTCTGAGGCAAGCTCTCTGATGTTGACTCAGGTGGACTTGATTCCAGTCTGTTGCTGCTCTCCAGGACAATGACCTTACTGTCTTCTGCACTACACCTTCAAAATTTTTAAATGAATGGACCACCTCAGATACTTAAAATTGTCCTTTTAGTCATGTAGTCGACTGTCAATACAGTCACAAGGGTAGCCTTGCTTCTGCCTTGAGACAAAATTAGGAGTAATAGTTTACACTGTGGGAGGATTCAGGGTAGGCAACAGCTGCTGGAGTCACCGTTACGAAAAGGGACCTGATAATGGTAGTGGGAATGCTTTTGTAATTTCTCAGCATGTTTTAATTCATGTCATGTGAATAAACACAGACCAGATTGTGTGGGTGTACAGCTTGTGAAGGTTATCTGGACCCAGTGAATACTGAATTTGCAATTAGGTAACTTGCCTGCTGATATGTTCTATCCTGCTTAACACAGTTATGTCAGCTCAGAGTTTAAAGAAGCAGGTCATTGACTGTAACTATGTGTCAGTTGACAGAGCTGAGTAGCCAACATATGCATATGGGCAACATCAATCTATTATTAATGACTGTAGTAATATTTTGTTGATAATCTGACCAATAAAGCTTGCCTGAAGATAAGAGTGCAGAGATAAGTCACTAGTTTGCTGAGACACTAGTTAGCCACACAACTAAGCCACTACTTAGCCATAGAGGCAGGAGAGCAAGTACTTAAGGTTATCCTTGACCAAGGAGTGGTGGGGTACAGCTTTAATCCCAGCACTTAGGAGACAGAGCCACTCTGGCACTCTAGTGGGGAGAGAGAGAAAGAGAGGGGTGAGAGGGAGGAAGAGTGAGGGGAAGAAGGATGGAGAGAGAGACAGACAGATATCGAGAGAGAGAAACAGAGAGAAAGAATGAGTCTGAGAGAAATTGCTGACACAAAGGTTATCCCAACACTTGGGATCGCACGCCTTTTATCACAGCTCTGGAGAGTTGGAGATAGGATTGATATGGCTGGGTAGAGAGAGGAATATAGGGTGTGGAGGACACAGGAGGGCATGCAGTGAGAGGATTCAGTCTGAGCTTTCAGCCAGAGGTTTCCTAGAGACAGCAGTCAGTCTGAGGAGCCAGTGTGAGGACAGGATCACCCCTTTGGTCAAGTATATTACTGTTTTTTTTTTTTTACCTGTACTTGTTTCTGTTCTCCAATGTTTCTAGTTTTTTATTAGTTTCATACCTTTTCTCTCAAGTGATGTCGATTATTGATTTCTGTGTAGAGCAAAGCCTCCTGTAGCTCAGGCTTGCCTCATGCTGTGTCATTGAAAATTGCTTTGAACACTTAATCCTGCTTCTCCTGGCCAGTGCTGGGAAGGCAATCCTGCACCTCCTTCAAGCCTGATCTTTGGCTCATCAATGAGAGGGACACAGAGACCAATTAATGAGTGAACCCTAAGCTCTCTGATTTTTAGTGGGGACTTAAAAATGAAGAGGGACCTGTGCAAGTATTGAGTTCATTGACCAACTTTGAAACTGGTGGCATCACAGTGCAGAAAGGCAGAGAGGCAGGATGGAGGTTGAGCTTTCCTCCTTCAAAAGTAGTTGACATTAGCAATGTGGAATTGGGTAATCAATTCCTGATGATCCATAATTTTCCTGATTGGTCATTTCTTAGGGTCCCCCAATGAGGATAATCAAGAATCTGGATAAAGGACAGACATTATTGTGAAAAAAATTGCTGTAGTTAGAGTAGTTCAACCAAAATAGACCTGGGTGAACTGGTGTGGCCTGCCTAACAGTACTGTTATTGTCCTGGGTTTAGATATACAGTCTGAGAGGAATGATTTGAGAAATTCTTAACCTGCTCTAATGGAAATCCCTTCACTCTGAAGCACATGGCCATAATTGTCTTTGCAACATTTTGTTTTGTTTTGGTTTGATTTTTTGAGGCAGGATTTCTCTGTATTGCTTTGGAGGCTGTCCTGGAACTTGCTCCTTAGACCAGGTTGGCCTCGAACTCACTGAGATCTGCTTACTTCTGCCTCCAGGTCTTTTCAACTTTTTTTTTTTTTTTCGAGACAGGGTTTCTCTGTGGCTTTGGAGGCTGTCCTGGAACTCGCTGTGTAGACCAGGCTGGTCTTGAACTCACAGAGATCCACCTGCCTCTGCCTCCCGAGTGCTGGGATTAAAGGCGTGAGCCACCAATGCCCGGTAGCGTTCTTTTCAACTTTTTAAAATGAATTTTTTAGACCATAGTTACATCATACCCACCTTCTCTTTCCTGTCCCCAAGCCCTACCATGACTCCTCATAGTTTTCTAATTCAAGGTGTGCTTTTCTTAAACAACAGTTACACAGTACCAAGTTAGTTTTTGAATGTGACATACATTTGACTGCAGTATATCCCAGCTATGAGGTCAAGTGGTGGTGCTGCATACCGAGAGTATACTGGAATATGTACACACATATCCCTGTGCTTTGCAAGAGGAGCAGGATGTGTTCTAGGAGACTGAAAAAAAATGTCTACTAAAATACAAACTTTCTTGACTAGGCCCCTGTCTGCTGAGCTAGAAGGACTATGCTATCTGGGTCATTTGATCTCTGAACACCTGGTTGAGGGATGCTACTATTCTAGGCCAAGCTGGGCGGCCCTAGCCAATGAGGGTTTCTAGGAAGGCTTAGCAATCAGGAGTACTGGTGGCAGGTAGCTTGCAGTTTCTTTCCAGGATCCTCTTGTCCTTCTTTTGGAAGTCAACAAAGTCTGGCATACCAAGCTGAGGAAGAACCAAGCCACTCCATCCTGTATCAAGACTGAGAAATGTATCCCACCATAGGGAGTGAACTCCAAAAATTCCATTCATGGACCTGGGATGGGTCCTGGTTTCACTGCCAGTGGTCCCCCAACAGATCAAGTTACATAAGTGTCACCCGCATTCAGAGGGGCTAGTTTGGTGCCATGAAGGTCCCCCAGCTGCCAGTCCATAGTCTGCAAGCTTCCACTACTGACAGTAGTATAAAGTGTCATTTTGTAGGAGTAGGTTTTTTCCTTGTTAGAGGAAGCATATCACAGTAGGGTCAGGCATTGAAGGTTCTTATACTAGTGATGTTGCCCAGTGTGTCAGTCAGAGTGGTACGAATCTAACCTTCAACACCACTTCTGCCTGCACTCTGGCATGCCCCCTGTCATGAGGATGACTAACTGAACGTCCAAAATCTTAAGTGAGACACCTCAATTAAATATTTTCTTTGTAAGAGTTGCTATGGTTCATGGTGGTTCTTCAAAGCAATAAAAACATAACAAAGATGGAATTTGGTACCACGGACTGGGGTATTGCTGTGATAGGCTGGCCCTATCATACAATTTCTCTGATGTGTTCTCAGTAGTGTTGATCTACAAGCTTGCCTATCCCTTTATGCGTCTTCATTGAGATTTCTTTCTCAAGGCTTTATGCTGTGTAAAAGGCCAAGAAATAGTGCGTGTGAACCTCATGCTCAATTTCTTTTTAAAGTGGCTGATTGAATTCTTCCTAAAGTCTATGCCATGAAATAAGTGTGGGAAGCACCAGAATTATATGAATACACTGTCAAAGAAGTATACATATACAATGTGATTATCACACTTCCTGTATTACAAATGTGTGGGTTATTTTAGAGCACACTGACCTATGATGATGTGCACATCAACTTCACTCAGGAAGAGTGGTCTTTGCTGAATCCTTCCCAGAAGAGGCTCTACAAAGATGTGATGCTGGAGACCTACAGGAACCTCACTGCTATAGGTAAGACTGAAGTTTCCTCATGATTTAAGAGAAGGGGACAACTTCTTCTTGGTTATTGATATTCTTCTGTAATGTATGTTGAGAAAATGAAAACTTAGGTGTATAAGGCACAGTTCTAAGATTCACTGAGGATATCAACTTAAATTTTGTACAACTTCCATTCCTATATCATATAGTTTCTGGTATTGTATTTTAGGCTACAGTTGGGAATACTATAATACTGAAGAACATTGTCAAAGTTCTGGAAGACATAGAAGGTAATTTTCATATGCAAGTTTATACAAATTTGTCCCTGAGGAAATGTTAATGTATCCTGTAAGGTTTAAAGGAAAGCAATAGTATAAATAAGCAGCCTACAGTATGTTAATGACTCTTAAGATCATATTTCTCAGTGTCAGGTAGCTACTCTGTGTTTGCAAAGCATTCCTGTGAAAAACAATACAAGGAAACAATGCCTTAACAGATACCACCATTTGCAATAGGGCCCTATGAGAGATATGCTTTAGAATGCCAATCCATTTGGCTTCATACTACTCAAATGTTTTAAATGGTATAAACATTGAATAGGTGATAAGTGTATGTCCAAGACCATCTAATAAAAAAGAGTCTGTTTACTACAGACTTGACTAGCTGACATTACTCATATATTTGTGACATTGCTAAGTATATGGAAAGGGTCAGTTAATGAGAGTCAAGAAAATTTTTCTGGAGAAACTTTAATCCCTACACCACATGACTATGAGGCAAAGAAAGTCAAACTTTTGAATGCAATGTGGAAGCCTTTCATTTGTTATTCTTCCCTTTATAAGAATATCCTGTAGATCCAAGAGATGGTGGTGCATGCCTTTAATCCCAGAGGCAGGTGTATTTCTGTCAGCTTGGGGCCAGCCTGCTCTTTAGAGTGATCACAAGGGCAGGCTTCAAAGCTACCAAGAGAAGCCCTGTCTCAAAAACCAAAGAAAATAAAAAGAATATCATGTTATTCTAAATATAAGCCATGTGAGCATAGAAAGAAGCAATGTCTCCTGTCTCTCTGCCTCTCTCTCTCTCTCTCTCTCTCTCTCTCTCTCTCTCTCTCTCTCTCTCTCTCTCTCTCTCTGTCTCTCTCTCTCTGTCTCTCTCTCCCAGGACAATTACAAAATATGAGAGATATTTAGTAGTCCCCACTGTGAGTAGATTTGTTGAATATGATACAGGTTTACAATTTGGTGTTCCAACTTCATTGGAAAAACATCAACCAACTCACACTGCAGTAAACCCTTATGAGTATTGCAATGTATGAATGTTTCCGTTTGTCCTGTACATTCTGCCAATGTAATGTAACTCACACTTTTGGAAAAACTTACGGATACAATTAGTATAACAAAGCTCTGAGTTCCTCCAGTTCATTTCAAATGTGAGAAAAATCTCATATAATAAAGATGATGTAAATGGGGACCATGAAATAAAGGCTCTTACTATCGCAGGTATCTTCAAAGCCATAAAATAATCCCTCATGAGTGGAAGCATCATGAATGTAAAACTTGATATCTCATTCCTCTTTACAATTAAGACAAATTATAAAATTAATTCATACAGATACTAATTTTCATCAGCATAATGCATGTGGTACAGGTTTTACATGTGCCAGTTATCTTTGCAGGAATGAAAGAAGCCATACAGTAGAGAAACCATGTGAATATACTCAATTTGTTAAAACCTTTGTGTGTTACAGGCAACTTCAAAGGCTTGAAAAAATTCATACTAAAGAGAAACTGTATGCAAGTATTCAATATGGTGAAATCTTTGCATGTCACAGTTGTCTTCATCTCCATAGAAGAACACATACTGGAGTGAAAAGCCATGAATGTAGTGGATGTGGTAAAGCTTTATCAAGTAATGGTCAGCTTCAAGGACATAAAAGAACACATACAGGAGGGAGAGCCTACAAATGTAATCACTGTGGTAAAGCCTTTTCACATCACGGTAATTTCCGAGCACATGAGAGAACACATACTGGAGAGAAACCCTATGAATGTAATCAGTGTGGCAAAGCATATTCACAAAAATCTAAACTCAAAATACATAAAAGAACACATACTGGAGAGAAACCCTATGCATGTAATCTATGTAGTAAAACCTTTTCAAGTATCAGTAGTCTACAAGCACATAAAAGAACACATACTGGAGAGAAACCCTACAAATGCAATCAATGTGGTAAAGCTTATTCATATGTTAGTAGTCTACAAACACATAAAACAACACACACTGGAGAGAAACCCTATGAATGTAATAAATGTGGTAAAACTTTTTCACGACACTGCAGTCTCATAAGTCATAAAAAAACACATTCTGGAGACAAACCCTATGAATGTAACCAATGTGGTAAAGCTTTTGCAAGTCATGGTGATCTTAAAAGGCATGTAAGAACACATACTGGAGAAAGACCCTATGAATGTAATCAATGTGGGAAAGCATTTGCACAATACTCTCAACTGCAAAGGCATAAAAGAACACATTCTGGAGAGAAACCTTATGTATGTAACCAATGTGGTAAAGCTTTTTCACAACAGGGCAATCTAGTAACTCACAAAAGAACACATACTGGAGAGAAACCCTACAAATGTAATCAATGTGGTAAAGATTTTTCACAACACAGCAATCTCGTAAGTCATAAAAGAACACATACTTGAGAGAGACGAATGTAACCAATGTGGTAAATCCTTTGTATATACCATAAGTCTTTAAAATCATGGGGAAAATATCATACTGCAGTGGAATCCTATAAAGGTAAACAATGTGGAAAAGTTGTGCCCTTTGCATGTTGAGGGCCTGATAAAATGCATACTGCAGGGAATCTTACTATAATGAATTTGGTAAGATCTTCAGCCAACACACATTTAGTTACAAGAGATTCTGGAGAGAAAAATATCTCACAAGTGTCAACAATCTGTTCAAACATTATGATGTCTCTAGTTTGTTTGTACCTTCAAACTGATATGAACAAAATCCTATGAGTTAATTGATAAAATAACTTTTTTATTTCATTATTTTCATTCATTACATTATAAACCTCATTAAGATTGATTGATTTCACTAAATACAATGTGAATACTACATGCTTGCTTCCTGTTACATCAAACAATTTGTGATGAGGGGAAACTGTTAAGACTTAATTGCCTCAATACCTAGGTTACAGGGATGAGTGCTTATAAGAGAATGTATTCACGTGTGAAAATTGGTTTGGTTAGAGATTTGATTTAATTTTAATTGTATGATGCCAGTGTGGGGGTTTATGAGTGTTCGTGCTTATTCTGAAAAAGGTTAGTCCTTTGAGAAGCTATAGAAAGTTTTCGCTAACCTGACCTAGGTCCTGGCAATGACTTATCATATAATTTTGCTCATGCATATCTCTAACCCTGTAAACATTATAAATCCTTTTGTATCATCTTAACATCAGGTAGTAGGGAAGAACTCTTGGAAAAGAATACACAATTCATGTAAACAATTTGGTGAAGACTTCATACTTGTCTTTAGCTTAAATTTAAAAAAATGTTTTGTGTGAAGGCGGGGGTGTTAATGAGTTCACCAGACCCAAGATAAGTGATGAATGGGTGTTTTGCTGGGGAACAATTTGAACAAATAATAAAAGAGCCTCCACGGCCGGGCATTGGTGGCGCATGCCTTTAATCTGAGCACTCAGGAGGCAGAGGCAAGAGGATCTCTATGAGTTCGAGACCAGCCTGGACTACCAAGTGAGTTCCAGGACAGCCTCCAAAGCCACAGAGAATCCCTGTCTCAAAAAACCAAAAAAAAAAAAAAAAAAAAAAAAAAAAGAGCCTCCACAGCCTTGCTGCTCCTGATGATGCAGTCTCTACCCTTCTCTGGGGATCTCTAACCCAAGTGATTGAGAGCAAGTGAGAAAGAGGCCACTCCAAGATTCTCCACTTCTGTGTCAGGTACACAAACCCAAAGACAGCACATGAGAATCTGAAAGATCCCTCCCATCTGACTGGCAGGTCTGCTAGAGGCTCTGATTGGCTAGTGAGGCCTGAGTGACAGGACCAGGAGACCAGAATTGACACAGCACAATGGTTTAATCTGAGCAAAGAATTCCTGGGTGGCCCCAGGGGAACAGAAAACCAGAAGCCCTGAGGTGAATCCTGTAGTGGGGTCTTATACCAACTCCCTAGAGGTGGACCCTGTAATACAGGGCTTTATAGGGACAGAGTCTGGACTGAGGTGACTCCAGGTGGGGGCCCGTCCTTGGCACCTTGAGGGTGGGGTTTGGAACAGGGGATAACAAACACTACAACCTCTTTGTATAGATATAGAAGCTGGTAGGGTTTCCACGTAAACAACCCAGACTCCCTGGGTATAGGGGCTTTTATTAAACTCTGACTTCTTCCTGCTGGCAAGGGTTGATGTGAGGAGGGGTGATCAGGGCTCTGTGGGCTCACATTCAGCAGGAGTTAAGGGTGGAAAACTAATCCCTTAGCTGACAACCTGTAGACCTCAGGCATCTGTTCCTTGAGGAGGTGGAGAAGGCAGGTTGGGTGAAGCTTCCATCATAATAATAATAGGGAGGTGCAAGTGGATAAAGGTTACTTGAGACCTTGATGTGTTTGATAGCACATTTCCAAACCCCACCCTCAGGGTCCCAAGGACAGGCCATCCCCTGGAGTCACCTCAGTTCAGACTCCATGTTTAAAAAGGCCTGCCATTGTTCCTCCAGAGAAGGAGAAAGGGAAAAGACCTCCTGAGCAAATTGGGAGGATGTGTGAAGTGAAGGGGAGCAGAGGGGAAGGGAGGAGGACATGAGGGAGCAGGAAGCTTGAGTCAGGGGAATAGGTTTACAGAGAAATCTGGCACTAGGGAAATGTCCAGAGCTGTACAAGGATGAACCCAACTATGATTCTAAGTAATAGCGGACAGACTACCTTAAATACCCTTTCCCTGTAATGAGATTGATGACTACCTTAAATGCTATCCTAGAGCCTTCTTCCAGTAGCTGATAGAAGCAGAAACAGACACCCACAGCTAAAGATTGAACTGAACTCCTGGAACCCAGTTGTAGAGAGGGAGGAATGATGACCAAAGGGGTCAAAACCAGGCTGGAGAAACCCAACAAAACAGCTAGCCTGAGAGAAAGTGGGAGCTCATGGACCTCAGCCTGACAGCTGGGGAACCAGCATAGGACTGAACCAGGCCCCCTGAATATAGGTGTCAGTTAGGAGCACTGAGCAGTCTATGGGGCCTCTAGGAGTGAATCCACTATTCATCCCTAGTTTACAAAAGAATTTTTGGGAATTCATTCCCCATGGAGGGATACTCTCTTAGCCTAGCTAGACACGTGGAGGAGAGCCTAGACTCTGCCCCAAATGACTGGACATATTTTGATGATCCCTCATGGAAGGTGTCACCTTCCCTGGGAAGTGGATGGCTGATGGGATGGTGGGGGTCTATGGGGAACATGGGAGGACAGGAGGAGGAGGGAACTGAGATTGGTATGTAAAATAAGATTGTTTTTAATTTAAATAAAAGTTACAAAATAAAAAAAAGAATAGCAAAGATGGGGTAGAGATTACCTTATCTAACAATTGCTGCTGCCATATCCCTTAAGTACTAGAGCTTCAGGGAACATTTTGGACACCGTCCTGAAACACTCACAGTCTCCCTGTGTTCTGTGTTCTTCCCACCATACCCCATTTACCATTATCAACTTGGATGACTTTGAAATCCTAAAATCCCTACCTCCACTTTTTTAGGACCACGATTACAGGCCTCTCCAACCATGTCTGGCTTAGGTGGCTTCAACTTCACTTAGTGAGGCATTAGAATGAAGGGATGAGTAACATGAGGAGTTGCATTTGACTATATTAAAAATCTACTATCTCTGTGAGCTAGTAAAAATAATGTATCTCATTGTTGGAAGACCACATTTGATGGATACCTTCTTCTGTTACTATGGTTAGGACCTGAGCCTGTGTCCCAACCAGCCAGGCTAACTTACTCATCTTCAGGAAGCCAATAAAATAAACCAACGTAACTCGTGAATTGCCTAATTATAATGCAGGCACTCTGGAGTCAAGATGGAGAGATCACTCTAATGTCCTAGGAGAACCTAGTCTATAGTATGAGTTCTAGGCCAGACAGGGAGTCACAGTAATAGTATTCTTTTTTTTTTCTTTTTTGGTTTTTCGAGACAGGGATTCTCTGTGGCTTTGGAGGCTGTCCTGGAACTCACTTTGTAGACCAGGCTGGCCTGGAACTCACAGAGATCCGCCTGCCTCTGCCTCCAGAGTGCTGGGATTAAAGGCGTATGCCACCAATGCCCGGCTCAGTAATAGTATTCTTAAAAACAAGGAAAAAAATAAAGAAAAAATAAGAAATAAAAAAGGAAAAAACAGGGGGAAATAATGTAAAAGGGAAAATGACAAAATTAATTAAAATTTAAAACATGTTTATAAAGTTTGACTAATTTGGAACGACAATAAAGAAAATATGTGGCAAATAGTCTATTCCTGGGATCCTAACAGGCTTAGATAGGAAACTAAATCTAATGAAATGAAATAATGAAATTTCCCCATCTCTAAAACACATATTCTCAGTTCCTGTTTTTCCTGTAAGGTGGTCAGATAAGAAGTAAATGTTTCTTCAATAGAGATATTCTTTTTTGGAGGATTCAAGACTCTTCCCACAAAGAGATTCCCAGGGAAACTAGAATTTCATAGATCTACTCTTTCACTAGTTGTAGACCAAAAGTAGACCCCACAAAGTTGATTTCTGGTCTCCACATAAGTGTCATGGTCTAAAAGCCTGTAATCACATAATAGACACACACATATAACATAATTTTTGTTTTGTT